AAACCTTCATCTAAAGTGAGAATAGCAGCACAACTGGAAGAACATAATCAATGTCACTGAACTGTGCATGCAGAAATTTTTGAAATGGTGCATCTTTGGCTATTTTCACCAAAAAAAAAAAAAAAAGGTTGAGAACGGAAAGGGTTAACATGTCATGGGGTTGTTAACCAATATCATAAAACAATATATGTACTGACTGTTTAATGAGAAACTATTTGTTCTGTAAACCTTCACCTAAAGTACAATAAAAAAAAAAAAAGTACCTCAACTTTGTTAACAGTGGTTATGTTTAGGAAGAGGAACTTAGGGTGAGGAGATTCTATATTCTGTATATCCTTCAGAAGGTATGTATATGTGTATATGTACAGATATGTGTGTAACTGTGTGTATTCTTTTTACTTAAACATTAAAATTTTATTAATATATAAAGCCAAATCAGTATGACAGAAAACGTAGGTCTTCTATTCTTGATCTATCTGAAACTGTAATGTTTTTAATTTATAGACTTAATACATCAGCCATCCACTTACAGAAGGTTGTAATAAAATGACCATCTAAGAAAGGACTCTTTGTGGATAACACTTGGTTTAATGTTAAACGTGGCAAAGCCATCTCCTGTGGCTCCTAAAAGCCCCAGCTAAGCTTCCACTGGTAAAAGTTGGCCCACCTGGTCTCTTTAAGGTAAGGCTATGAAGATAACTATTCTTCCTTCCTCATAAAACCACTTGTGGGGAGGACAAATCAAATTCATTCAACAGACAAAGAGAACTGGGTCTTTTCCCATCATTACTAATACTCAAATGTCCTTACCACAGAGGAATGTTCAGATCTTCCAAAAACTACAAATGTCCTGTGTGTTAATTTCCCTAAATTTACTAAAAAAGTTTAAAAATTAAAAAGGACTCCAATGATTCAAAAAGGAAAAAGTACTTCAAAAGAGTTTTCCAGGAAAAACAGACTATTATTGAGTGGCATTTTCCATTCAGGATGAAGACCTCATTTCCAAAATTAGCACACCAAAATCATATCTTCACTTGATGAGGCAATTACAACTGTATGTTTACTTAAGAGGGAGGGGTGAACTTGGTAAACCATGAGATTTTAGAATTAAACAAACAAGCCTAATTTTGAGTTTCTTACCTAGTGCAGCATGATTTTCTTGCTCCTGGCTCTTTCCCAAAGAAGCCATCACTTTTGAATATGTATCAGCCCACCAAGGCTTATACTTCAAAACCTGTTCAATTGCCTCATCTTCAAAAAAGTCAGCTCTGGGGGAAAAAAAAAAAAAAAAAAAAAACATTGAACGGGCTTGTTATATAGGACTAGGCTGGTTTTCATTTTTAAAAAATTTTATCTCAACTCATCACATTCATACTACAAATAGAGGTTCTTAATTCAGAGTACATTTCAAGGAAAGACTAAGCACAGAATTTACTTTCTTCATGGTTACTAATCACAATATAACAAAAAGTAAGCATCTGACTAGAGGGATATTTGGCATGTCTGATCTCTTTAAATAGAAGGTACATAAGAGAGTAGAGCAGCTAAAGCGAATGGAAGCAATGATGAAGTAAAAGAGCTGAACAGAAGATTTCAAAGGGCAGCTCGAGAAGACAAAATAGAATATAATGAAATGTGCAAAGACCTGGAGTTAGAAAGCCAAAAGGGAAGAACGTGTTCGGCATTTCTCAAGCTGAAAGAACTGAAGAAAAAATTCAAGCCGCGATTTGCAGTTTTGAAGGATTCTATGGGCAAAATATTGAATGATGCAGGAAGCATCAAAAGCAGATAGAAGGAATTAAAGCCACCCGTTTTTGGTATTTTTTGTTATAGCAGCACTAGGAAACTAGAACAGTTTGCAAGTACCACAGATTTTGGTAAAGTCACAATAAAGGAAAGAACCTTTGAACTCTATCAGCAAAGAAAAATAAACACATGAGTACAAAATTTAGGATACTATATATCCACAAAGAGGCTAAAAGAGGACACACACACACATCATTTTTTATGTGCACACATATTTTCTACCAAAGTACAATCTGTTTTATTTAGCTATGCTAATCTGAACAGTTCCTTTTTTTTCCATGCCCAACTATTTTTTTTAATTGTTGTAGTTTAAATGAAGTTTACATTTCAAGTTAGTCTCCCACACAAAAATTTATACATACATTGTTATGTGACCCTGATTGCTCTCCCCTTACTGTGACAGCACACTGCTCCTTTCCACTTCTGACTCCCCATGTCCATTTAACCAGCTCCTAACCCTCTCTGCCTTCCCATCTCACCTCGGGACAGAAGCTGCCCGTTTAGTCTCTTGTGTCTACCTGAACTAAGCGGCAAACTCCTCACAAGTATCACTTTATGTCCTACGGTTCAGTCCAATCCCTGTCTGAAGAGTTGGCCTCAGAAACTGTTTTAGTTCTGGGCTGATAGAGAATCCAGGGGCCATGCTTTCCAGGGTTCCTCCAGTCTCAGTCAGACCATTAAGTTTGGTCTTCTTACTAGAATTTGAGTTCTGCACTTCTCCTTTCTATTGCTCCATCAGGGACTCTCTGTTGTGTTCCCTGTCAGGGCGGTCATTGGTGGTAGGCAGGCACCATCTAGTTCTTCTGGTCTCAGGCTGATGAAGTCTCTGGTTTATGTGGCCGTTTCTGTCTCTTGGGCTAATACTTCCCTTGTCTCTTTTGTGTTCTTCATTCTCCTTTACTCCAGGTGGCTGGGACCAATTGATGCATCTTAGATGGAACAGTTCCTTGATTTTAAACCATGGAGAGGGAAAAAAGCAGCCTTTGCAGAGAACACAAAACTAATTTCCCTCTACTTTACTTGTAGCTTTAACTAGGAAAATAACAGCTAGATTCAAAATATACCTCTTGGAGGACATATTCAGAAATTATGCTAAATTATTAGCATTCAAAGCAAGAAAGTAGTACTTTTAGGAAAAGAATGACAAAAAGTGTAACTTATGGTGAAAAATTCATCTACAGTAACATTTCAGTTAATTAGAAACTCAAGGAATTGGTTGTTTTGATTAATTGAATTTTCTAACTGACAGTTTTATGACCTTACATACTTTTTTTTAATTTCAACTAAAATGTTTAAATCTTTTGAAATTGGAAGGATTGCAGATAACTTACTGAATTCTTAATATGTGCCAGACCCTTGCTAAGTACTTTTTATCTATATTTCACTGAATCTTCATATCACCATGGAGAGGGTATTATTAATACCCTCGTTTACAAGGGTAGAAACTGAGACTCAGAAAAGTTATGTGTCTTTGCTAAGGTCAGAGAAACAGCAACAAGTGTGGCCAGAATTTGGACCCACTTGAGTCTTATTCCAGAATCCAAGCTCTTAACCAATATAAAAACTCCATGTTTCTACTTGAGGAAATAAATTACATATTGGGTTAAACTGAAGAGTTAAAATCTTGAAATGGTAATTCTCAATATCAATTTCTGTCAGGTGCATGAGGTATATGAGACTAGGATGAAGTAGTTGCTTTATAAACTAATCCCACCAAGAGTCCATTGTTCTATTAGCTCTCTCTTTCTTCTTAAAGGAAAACTTTTCTTAAATGAGGTTCGACTACAGACTTGCATCCACAAATCAGGAAGTGAACTTTTGCTAGTAAATGTGCTTCAAAAAAGATAAGCAATAAGAGTGGTGAAAATGCTAAATATGTGACTGACTTTGTACAACATTCCAAGCTCCCTGCACGGGGTGACATTGGTAACAAGACACTGGCAGTCCTGGCCCTCGTGGAACTTAGTCCCATGGGAGAGTCAAACAATTACAAGAAAGCATAATGCTATGATAGACAGCACAAGATTCTACAACAAAATAAAACTGGGGTGACGGGCCAGGTTCCTGGAGGAAGTGATATCCAAGTCAACAGTTAACCAGATTGAAAAAGGAGTGGGAGAGAGTATTCTGGGCTGAAAGAACAGTGTAGCAAAGGCTAGGGAACAAGAAGGTACACTGAAGAAAACATTAAAAAAAAAAAAAAGTTGAGAATAGCTGAAAATAATATACTGTGATGACCACACGCTTGTAAGCTTATAAGGCATGTTAAAAAATCTGGAAGATTTTTCATCCCTAAGAACTGAACACTTAATAGGTTTTACATAGGGTACTGACATCTGTGTGTTTTAGAAACATCACTCTCATTGCAGTTTGGAAAATGGTTTAAAAGGGCAACCCTAAAGGAACAGAACTAATGGTGGCCTAGACTCGACGGCATCTAACAACAACAACAGAACACTTTCGTGGCAGTGGACGTGGGGCACAACGCATGGACCTGATGTGTATTTAGAAGCGAGAATCCTCAGAATGTAGGGGTCAAGGGAGCTAGAGGAGTTGAGGCTGATGCCCAGGATTCTGGACAACTCAGTGGACAACAGAGCCCTTGTTGAGACAGGAACACAGGAACAGACAGGCACGGAGAGATAATGACTTCTGTCTCAAACGGGTTCAGTTTGAGGTACCCTTGTGGGACATATGAATAGAGATCTGTATATCCACTCGTATGTCCAGTTGGACATACAAGTCTGATGCTCAAGAGGGACAAGGGAGTCATAAGCCTCTGAACAGTTATTGAGCCCACGGAAGAGGACAGAATTACCCAGGTAAAACTGGTACCGTGACAGAAAAGGGCCTTGGACAATGGAGCACTGAGGCCATTTAAGGAGGGTAGAAGAAGAGCCCATTTAAAAAGATAGTGTCTCTTCTCTTTCCTCCAGGGGGGCCATGATGAAAACAAAAACAAACCGGCTTTGTAAAACGGTATCTCTACCAACTCCATCACCCCCTAAAAAAACTTCAAAAATGTTTAAGTTACTGTTTTGAGAAAAAGCTGATACCAGTGCCAGTAATCTAAATTGTGATGGTTTATTCTTTACATTGTTCATGAATTAAGAGCTTTATGAGCAAGATTTGAGCTTGACTAATGTGTTTTCAGTCACCTCATATGCACGCCAAAGTTGGACAATGGATAAGGAAGACCGAAGAATTGATGTATTTCAATTATGGTGTTGGCGAAGAATATTGAATATACCATGGACTGCCAGAAGAATGAACAAATCTGTCCTGGAAGAAGTACAGCCAGAATGCTCCTCAGAAGCAAGGACTTCATCTCACACATACTTTAGGCATGTTATCAAGAAGGATCAGTCCCTGGAGAAGGACATCATGGTTGGTAAAGTAGAGGGTCAGCGAAAAAGAGGAAGACCCTCGGTGAGGTGGACTGGCACAGTGGCTACAACAATGGGCTCAAGCACAACGATTGTGAGGATGCCACAGGACTGGGCACTGTTTTCTTCTGTTGTGCATGGTGTCGCTATGAGTCAGAATCACCTTGACAGCACTTAACAACTAACAACAATGTACTACTTTACAGAATAAATTATTTTCAAGTTCTTAATTGCCATTAATTCATCAAGCATTCACTGAATGCCCTCTACATGCGCCCTCTACAAGACTCCCTTCTACTCCCTCAAGGACCTCATAATGTAATGGAAACTGTGGACACAAATAATCAAACCAGTTGCCATCAAGTCGACTCCGACTCACGGTAACACCATGTGTCAGAGTAGAACTATGCTCGATAGGGTTTTTCAATGGCAAATTTTTTGGAAGTAGATTGCCAGCCCTTTCTTCCAAGGTGCCTCTGGGTGGACCTGAACTGCCAACCTTCAGGTTAGCAGACGAACGTGTTCACCATTTGCCCCATGCAGGGACTGCATGGACACAAATACAAAGCATTATAAAACAATGTGGGAAAAACAAGGTGAGCTATAACAAGGCAGGAGCAAAGAGCGCTTCCTACACCAGTTTGGGAGGAAGAGTGTGAGAGGGTGACTACTGAAGCCAGTCTTAAAGGATAAGTAAAAGTTATTTAGGCAAAGTGGGACAAGGGGAAGAACCAGCTGCCAAAGGAATATTGCCAGTAAAACAGAGCATACAAGAAGTGGTTTGGTATGGGTGGAGAAACACCAAAGTTCATTATTGCTGCAATATAAAATGTGCACAGGGGCTGAAAGAAGAGAGGCGACAGAGGCATGCAGGGTCCAGATCAAAGAGAACTTTCTGTGCTATGCTATGGGGATAGGAGCTATGCTGTAAGTAAAAGGAGAACCAAGTAAGGGTTTAAGCACATTTGCATTTTCCATACATAAGCCATCACACTGGTAGTTTTATGGTTGATGGGTGGAAGAAATCCAGGCTGGAGGTAGAGATACCAGTTGGGCAATTAGGAGACTGCTACAATAAGCCAGGCAAAGATGAGGAAGAGAAACTGAGTGAAGGAAATAATAAAGAGACAAATGGTACAATTTCAGGATTGATTGGATGTTATCTTAGTTATCTCGTGCTGCTATAACAGAAATACCACAAGTGGATAGCTATAACAAACAGAAATTTGTTCTCTCACAGTCTAGGAGGCTAGAAGTCCAAATTCAGGGCACCAGCTCCCAGGGAATGCTTTCTCTGACAGTTCTGGGGGAAGGTCCTTGTCATCAATCTTCCCCTGGTCTAGGAGCTTCTCAGTGCAGGGACCCTGGGTCCAAAGGATGTGTCCGCTCACAGTGCTTCTTTCTTGAGGGCATGAGGTCCCTCTCCTCTCTGCTCGCTTTTCTCTTTTATATCTCAAAAGAGACTGACTCAAGACACAACCTAATCCTGTAGATTGTATCCTGCCTCATTAACATAACTGCCTCTAATCCTGCCTCATTAACATCATAGAGATTAGGATTTATAACACCTAGGTAATTACATCAGATCACAAAATGGATGACAACCACACAATACTGGGAATCATGGCCTAGCCAAGTTAACACACATTTTAGGGGCATACAATTCAATCCATAACAGATGTGTAGGATAAGAAAGCAGAAGTCAAAGACAAATCCCCAGGTGCTAACCTGGGTGATGGTAGTGAAAAACGGGCATTCAACCAAATTAGAAAATTCAGGAAGACTTTACAGGTAAAATGGTTGAGTTCAATTCTGGACATGTCAAAATAGGGGAGTCAGTGGGATGCCCAGTCACTCTCTAAATCCTTAGCCTGCTCTTTCTTCATAGCACTCATCACAACAGAAATAGGGTCTATTTCCTCACTAGAACATAAGCTCCATGACAGCAGAGACCTTGTCATTCTCACTACACTGTCCTTGGTGCCTACAACACTGCCTGGCACACAGTTCATTCAAAGAAGTACTAGTTGAACAAATAAATGCATAAAAGAAAGGGTCAGTAAATCAAAGTTTATTCTACTGCCTTTTCCTACGTTTGGTGTTTTGATTAGAAAGGCACCTTGGAAGTACGTGATCCTCTTCCTTTCTTCATAATTACTACTTGTATTCTTGAGATGATCACCTCAATAAATCCAAAGGCTCTGTCAGTATACCACCTTCTTTAACAGATTTATAGAAATGAAAAATCACCACATCTTAAAATGGTACCCTCAACGGTATATTATCATTTTTGTCACTTTTCTTATTTCACAGATAATTTCGAATGCTGACTAAATTCTTCTACTACTTCTTCCCAAAGAAACAGGTGTGATTTTATGAATTGGTTAGGGTAAAACAAAATACACCATTTAAAAAAAAACAATTTGCTTGGAAAGAAAAAAAAAAAACCCTCTCAGTAAGAGAAATATGAAAGCTTGGTTATCATAAGCAAAAGAGGAAGGATTATTACGGGATGTTTCAAGATGCCTCCAACATATTTTGGTGTAAAAATAAAACCCAAAAGGAACTATAAATGGCAAGAAATGGACAATCAATAAACAATAAATGTTTATGAATCATCTATTATATGCCCAGCATTCTGCTGAGCTGCAGAATATACCACCCCTCCCCACCAATAAAAATCATTCATTTTATATTAGAGGATTTTTAAAATAATTATAATAATCCTTGAGGGGAGACTGTGACGTCTCTCACTGGCCATTTGAAATGTGTAAATTTTTCTATACACTTTACCTCCCTAACTGTGTCCTGCTCAGGCTAAAATTAATATTAGTTTTTTTTAAGCAAAACAAAAAACAAAAAAACCTGACAGCATGAGGAGATATCTTGACTTGTAAGAAGTCAAATAACTTAAAAATCTATAATATATTGCATTAATGTAATATGTAGTATGTATTATATATGGCTATTCCATTTATATATGTAAATGCATTACACATACAATTTATTATTTGCATTGCAGATTATAAAGAATTTAACATAAACCTTTTTCCTCCACTGTACTAACCACTAACAACAAAAAAGCTTTGAGCGAAAACAAAATTTTTAATTGAAAATTTAGAACTTTACTGGCGCTTCATTTACTATTAACACATTTGGGTGAGTCAGTCCGCTAATATCAATAGTGAGTAATGAGTAACACAAAAATTACAGTTAGCCAAAGTCTTACTGCTACCAGAAAAAGTCACAAAGAACCTTTACCTCATGACTCCACTTTCCTGATTTAGCCCGTGACTAAATGTAAACCACTCGTGTAAGAAGAACTATTCCTTCAGAAATGGAAAGAACATGTCATGCACACTATTAAAGAAAATGAGCTTCTGGATAAAGAAACACAGAAGATGGAGAAAAATAAGGCTACTTAGAATATCACACTTCCAACTATAAATTCCAAATTCCTAATTCTCTCAGGCCACGCAGTTACTCTTCTAGTTTTAAAAGAGAAAGTAGTTCTTCTAATTAAGCTCCCTCCCACTTGAAATTTCAGCCTTGTAAAGCTCATTCTGTTTTTATGCTTGCCTCAGAAATACGCTGACAATGAAATTTCCACTTCAAATATTCACTATGATTTTAAATGGGTTTCTTCAAATTGCTCTTCAGGGGACCTCTGAAACCACAATTGGAGAGATAAAGCTAATTAGAAATGGCAATGTAAATGGAGTGGAATCTCTCAGATGTCCTCCAAAATATAACATACCCTGCTCTTAGCCAGTTTCCCTTAGGATGTTGAACAGTTCCACCATTTATCACCACACATCACTCAATGCATTTGCACATCACAGGATATATTTCTAACATTCCAATTAGTATCCTACTGTGTCACAGAAGACGGAATGTTAACCAAAAGAGCAACAGCAGTTAAACTTAAATAGTACGCATGAAAAGGACATACAAGATAACAGATGGGGAAACTCTTCAAGTCCTGGCCAAGCCCCTTAGTAGTGGTGTGAAGTTAGGCAAGTCCCTTATCCTCCTTTCCTCCTCTGCTGTGAAAACTAAAATAAATAATCACATGAGAGCTCTTGATAAGCAGAAAGAACTATACAAATATAAAGAGATATGACTGTTATGGCTGCATCTAACAGTGGAGAAATTGTTGGCCCAGCGCTTGGAAAGAACAATAATTGAGGTCCTACATCAACATGGGACACCCACTCTCCACATATCTTAAGGGAGCCAAGTATCTACAGAGACCAGGTGACAACTGCCTCCTTGGAAGATGTGCTGTTATCCCTGCCAATGAGAGACATCATAATCTCCCCTTGATTGATAATTTACCTGTCCATTAATTAGTTAAGCCTCTTAAGCAAACATAAGCCTAGCAGAGATACATCCCACCACCCGTCTGTCAGTTTGTCATACTGGGGTGGCTTGAGTGTTGCTGTGATGCTGGAAGCTATGCCGCCAGTATTTCAAGTACCAGCAGGGTCACCCATACTGGACAGGTTTCAGCGGAGCTCCCAGACTAAGACAGACTAGGAAGAAAGGCCTGGTGATCTACTTTAGAAAATTAGCCAACAGAAACCTTATGGATCACAACAGAACACTGTCCGACTTGCTTGCTTTGGACACATCATTGGTAGAGATCCATCTCTGGAGGAGGACATAATGTTTGGTGAAGTAGAGGGCCAGTGAGGGTGAGCGAGAGCCTTAGTGAGATGGACTGGCACCATAGCCAACAAAATGGACTCGAACACGTCAGTAATCATGAGGATGATACAGGACCAGGCAGTGTTCTGTTCTGTTGTACATAAGGTCACCATGAGTCGGAGTCAGCTTGATAGCAGTTATCGCTCTCTATCTGGAGACGCATCATGGCTAAAGACACAATTAATGCAGGAACACAGGAAAATACAACAAAACTTATTAGATTTTGTTTAAACTCTACCACGAACAGTAATTGTTCACCTGAAACGAATCCTTGATTACAGACGCTAATGTTAGTGCTTGAGTTAGGAAGACCCAGGATCAGCCAAGAAATGCAGTACCTACAGATTTAAATTCTTAAAGAAATTGAAACATTTCATTTAATCATTCATCAAGACAGAAAGGCTACTAAAAAGAAGTATAAATATTCTTAGGAGTTTAGTGTTCTATTTTTCAGGCTAGCAAGTATAAAACTCAGAGAAATATGTTCAACGAGTTCTGTTGCTGGGAAGGACAAGTGTGAAGTAATAGCTTACAATGTCACACAGATACAACGGCTGTAGGTTCGTTAGAATGTCAATGAAGGCTCTGTGCCATCATTAATTCCTAGAATTCCAAAAGCACATACATAGAATAGTTAAAATGACACTCAGTTTTTTAAAAAAGAAATTTCAAGCAAATTATTTAATCCTCAAAACACTCAATACTCACAGGTAATGATCAGGATCAAACTTGGCCAGCTCGGCAGCCAGGCGTTTCTGTCTTCGTTCAGCTGCAGGAATAGAATCTGGATCCTTAATATCAATAACTTCACTCAATTCATCCTAAGAACACCCAGAAAAGAAAGAATCATCACTAGCATCTACTTGAGTATTTAAAAACCAAATTTTGTACAAAATGCCAAAACATGAGGAAAATCTAATTGATCAGTAAGCCATGATACTATCTACAGCATTTAGATTCAAATCCAGCAAACGTTTGGTAAGCACCTATACTTGCCAGGCCCTGTTGGAAGCTTTCAGATAAATTGTCTCATTTAATCCTTATAACAAACAAACTGATTAGCACGTATTAATGCTATAAAAGTTTAACACCAAAAACAGACTAGAGTAAACCCTTACAAGCAAGCAGGAGCATTTCGTTCTCTATCCATTCCCCACTTACCCCTGGAGATTTGAAAGTTATTAAAGACAGAATGGTCTGAATATCAGACATCTACACACAGGCTTTCCTTTTGTTTCTTCCTATCCAAAAAACAACCAAACCCATTGCCGCTGAGTCGATTCTGACTCACAGTGACCCCTGTAGCACAGAGTAGAACTGCCCCATAGGGTTGCCACGGAGCGGCTGGTGGATTCGAACTGCCAGCCTTTTGGTTAGCAGCCGAGCTCTTAACCACTGCGCTACCAGGGCCCTTCAAATAAGAATTACCATGTAAGACTACATACACAAAACCGCGTACATGCTGCTTTATGAGCAGATTTAAGGATTTTCAAGGGCAATTTTGATGCATGTGACTTTCCATTTGAAAATTATAAAACAATCTAATTAATATTCAACTCTACTGAAATTGTGTTTACCAACAGGTACACATAATGATATGTAACACGTTTCCTAAGCCAAATCCTACACAATACACGTACATTAGGAAAACTGCCTAGAAAACCCCATGATCTTTATTTTTTTGATCACAATTATGAAGTAAAGAAACCTTACACAGTGCAAAAAATTCCTAATAACTATACTTTTTTTTTCCCTTTCTTCAACTCCCACTCCTACCACCAACCCCCAAGCAAAGCAAGTACAAAAACTGGAAGAAGCTTAAAGAATATTAACTGGAAAGAAATCAAGAGAAGTAACTTGGTAAAGTTGTGGAGATAAACTGGAAGGACAGATTTGTAAAAGGAATTCAAGCTCACGCCTACCTGTTGTTGTTAGCTGTCATCAAAGTAGGCCCTGACTCATGACAACTCCACTTCCATTGGCTGATTTTTAGAAGTAGATCACCAGGCCTTTCTTCCTTGTCTATCTTAGCCTGGAAGCTCCGCTGGAACCTGTTCAGCATTCAGCAACACACAAACTACCACTGACAGACGTGTGGTGGCTGTACATGAGGTGCACAGGGAACCCAGGTCTCTGGCAAGGAGGGTGAGAATTCTACCACTGCACCACCACTGCCTCATTGCATGCCTCATACCAACAACAACAAAACCCAAACCCACTGCCGTCAAGCGGACTCTGACTCATAGCGACCATACAGGACAGAGTAGGGTTTCCAGGGAGCAGCTGGTGGATTTGAATGCTGACCTTTTGGTTAGCAGATGAGCTCTTAACCACTATGCCACCAGGGCTGCTGAATGTAAACCACTACAATGAAAGTGGTCTCACAAGTTTCTCCCCTTTGCCAGGTGCAGTCTTACCACCTTTCTATCACTTGTTTTAGAGGAAAATACTTTAGTTCTCCTTTCTGACAGGTAACCACCTTACACAGGTTCCAGCTTTCGCAGGTTTTACTGGATTAGCAATATTTAATCTAAGCACATTCTGATACAATGAAAGGATCCAGGGGCCTTTTCCCACACAAGGAAAATTCCCGTATAATGACACAAAAGACCCACATACTTTCCACTTTTATCTTCTTTTATTAGCATTTAGTGAACAGTAAGATTTGTTGGACCAATGAGGACCCTCCTGACTGTCATTACTGAAACCTGTAAGTGATTGTTGAGAAAGACAATTCAAAATGTAGGATTACGGAGTTTTAGCAGTTTCTAGCCAATCTGTGAAAAGGTGAAGCTTTCAATGGTTTTGCCCATTTGTAATGTGAATATATACTGATGACTCTGTAACTTAGTTCCTCGGACTGGGGCAGACATGACTCTAGCAGCATACTTGTCCGTTTTCCCACTTCTGTCTGTTCTGTAATATTCTTTGGATTCAGGCAGACATGGTTCTGGCAGCATGCTTGTTCATTTCCTGCTTTTGCCTCTGTGAATGTGAGCCAAATAAAACTTTCTTTTTGCTTTACTAAAAAAAAAAATCTTGCATAATGAAAAAAAATTATCTTAGCCTAACCAGAATCCATTAAGTTCAAGTAACACAGTGAAACCTGTGAGAAACGAAACTCAATGGAACTGCCTTGTTTTTCCAGGTCTCACAAGTTTCTCCCCTTTGCCAGGTGCAGTCTTACCACCTTTCTATCGCTTGTTTTAGAGGAAAATATTTTAGTTTTCCTTTCTGACAGGTATCCGCCTTACACAGGTTCCAGCTTTTGCAGGTTTTACTGGGTTAGCAATATTTAATCTAAGCACATTCTGATACAATGAAAGGATCCAGGGGCCTTTTTGGGTATCACTGGAACATTCAGAACATCTTAATACTGCTAAGTACAAACATTCTGGGCAAAAAATAGATTACTGGCTGTTCCCAAATGCATAAAAATTTACATTCCAAAAGTTCCTTTGCAATTCACTTTTTGGAGACTTAGAATATACTTTCCTATAGAAATACTATTATAAATAGCAGAGTCTCAGGGCAATCCATGAGTTATTCAATTCATAATGTACTTAAAATGGAGTACTGATGATACAAAGAACTTAATAAGCATGCAGTAATGTTTCCATGGGAAAATACTTTCAGAGTTCCAATGCAGTCCACCAGAAGTAACTCCTTCCTGTGCAATGCAAACTGGACTCTTCCCCTCTTGCCCTACTTCCTCACCTGCCTGAAAGCAGCTCCTCCGGCCAGAGCTGGCAAGAGGGCTTCCATGAGGACCTTGGTGGAGGGGAGGGTTGTAACGTATCCACAGGACTTACCTCATGGTAGCTGAGTAACTGCGAGAGCCATTTGCCTCCCCTGGACACCAAGTCGCTCTCCCCAGCACCCTAGAGTCACCCCTTTCTTTCCTTCTTCTGGCCCTAAGGAGTTCCCTGAACCCCACCCTGCCCCCTACACTTCTGAAGACAGCCTGATAAAGTAGAAAAAGAATGACTTCGGAGTTAGACAAGGAGTCCCTAGGTGGTGCAGATGGTTAAGGCACTCAGCTGCTGGTAGAAAAAACTGGTGGTTTGAGTCTACCCAGCGGTGCCTTAGAAGAAGGGCCTGATGGTGTACTTCCAAAAAATCAGCCACTGAAAACCCTATGGAGCACAGTTCTACTTCGACACGCATAGGGTCACCACAAGTTAGGATCAACTCAACAGTAACTGGCTAGAGTTAGACAAGCCTGGACTTAAATCCCAGGTCCAGTCTAACTGTGTAACCTCCCTGAACCCCAGATTCCTTACTGTAACATAAGTCTAGCGACACCTCCATGAAGGGCTGTGTATTAGTTTCCCACTGCTGTGATAACAAATTACCACAAACTTAGTGCTTTAAAACAACACAAATTTACTGTCTTACAATTCTGGAGTCAAAAGTCCAAAGTTAGTGTCAGTGGGCTGTGTTCCTTCCTAGAGGCCCTAGGCAGAATCCATTTCCTTGCCTTTTCCAGCTTCTAGAAGCTGACCATATTCCTTAGCTTGCAGCCCCGCATCACGCTGTCTTTCTCCCTCAGCCTCCATCATCACATCACTTTCTCTCTGTTCACTTTGACCCTCCTGTCTCCCTCTTATAAGGACCCTTATGATACTGGGCCCACCTGGGTAATCTAGGATACTCTCCCCATCTCAACATCCTTAACTTACACCTGCATAGCTCCCTGTGCCAGGTAAGGTAATCTGTTCATAGGTTCCAGGGATTATGTACACACATTTTTGGAGAGCCATATTCTGTCTACCACAGGCTGTAGTGAGAATCAAATGAGATAATTCAGGTTTAAGGCATCAAGCACAGGGCTTGGTAAATTCAATAGTGCTGGTTTCCTTTCTCTGTTTCCTATTCAACTGCCACTCTGTTACTCCCTGGGTGACTTCCCACTGAGAGCACTTAACCTCCCCAGCTTTGCTTTCTTCACTTGCTAGTAGTAATAACAAGAAATAAATGGAGATTAAAGTGTTCTGCTTCACGTAATCACCTGGACCAGACACAAGGTCAACAACAGGGAGTAATCTGTGAGCCTTTGTAGATGATGTTACATTTCAGACAATGAATGGACTGTACCGAGAATGAACCCAGGCTCTTACCACAGCTCAAGCCCTGCACAGGGAACGTAAACAGATACTTGTTCACCCGTGTTCACTGCAGCACTGCTCACAGTACGCAAAAAGGGGAAACAGCCCAAATGCCCATCAATAGAAGAAAGGATAAACAAAATGTGGTACAAACATACAATGGAATACTACTCAGCCATGAAGAGAAATGAGGTCCTGATGTAGGCATACAACATGGAGAAACCCTGAAAACATTATGCTGGGTAGAAAGAGTCAATCACAAAAGGACAGATGTTGCATGATCCCTCTCATATAAAACATCTAGAATAGGCAAGTGCATAGAGACCAAAGTTTATTAGTGGTTACCAGGGGTGGGAGGGGAGGAGGAGGAAGACACATCGCTTAGGGGACAACTAAGCTTTGGTTAAAGTGATGGAGACATTTGTGAACAGTTCACGGTGATGTTTGAACAACATGATGAACATATTTAATGTCACTGAACTATACATGTGAAGACTGTTGAAATGGCAAACGTCTTGTTACCAATATATTTACCAAAAAAAAAAAAAAAACCTCTATGCTAATAAAAAGGAGCCCAGGTCTGCTTCCTTAAGATTACAGCCTTGGAAACCCTGTGGGGCAGTTCTGCTCTGTCTCAGAGGGTCACTATGAGTTGGAATCCACTCGATGGCAATGGGTTTGGTATGGGTTGGGGATGGTAAAGGAGCCCTGGT